GAGAGGGGAAAATGAGCTGAAACCAAGGGCTCAAGTAGAAAGAAAATGTTTTGAGAATGATGAAGGCAACAAATGTACAAATGTGCTTGACACAGTGGATGTGTGTGTATTGTGATAAGAGTTGTACAGAGCCGCCAATAAAATAATTTTTTTAAAAAAGAATGGCTTTCAGTGTGAGGTTATAAATTCCTTTCAGGCATTGAGACATTAGTTGGCCAGTCAACAATGATGTCAAACAGATTCCTGTAGTGGGTGGGAAACTAAATTAACTGACTGTCAAGTTCTTTTTGACTATTAACTTTTTCCTCATTGTGTGCTCAAGGTCACAGTTAGCTAGTTCGAAGTCTAGCTAATACAAGTGCACAGACCTAACTTCTTAGCCAGTGTCATCTTCTGCACCACCATGTCTCAGGCTTTCTTTTATTTCCACCTGTATTTTATTTAGTTCTGGTTGTTTCTTGGTTCTGGGTATGAATTGGAATTCCCTACATCCTCATTTTTTGGATTTGTTTGCTGACAATTTTGAATTTTTTATACTAAATTCACTCAAAATATTTAATATTTTATTCAACAACTATCCATCAACTACACACACACACACACACACACATGTGTGTGTGTGTGTGTGTGTGTGTGTATTTATTTACTCTTCTAAAACTATTGTGACCTAATGAAATAAATTCAAATATCTGATTTTCACCCTCTTTGGGGCTGTCTCTTAATTATGTCAATTGTTCTTTATCTTTGTTTCTGTTCTTGCATGCAAGATGCTAGATCTACTATTATGAGGAGAAACATCTAAAACGCATTTGATCGTGTATTTCTATTCTAATTTACTTGCCAACGTTATTTGAAATGGTAACAATTATTCAGATTAATTCTGATATGTGAATAAATAAATAAAATGCAATTTTCTTCTTTTTCCTTCAAAATGTTTAAAGTAAAACGTTAGAGATAAATGAAGTTGCACTTTTAAAAAATGCTAGCAATTAAAAATTAACGTTTACAACTTAAGGAAATGATATAGTTTAGTAATAGACTAAGAGCACAGAGACCTGATTTATAATCATAGTCCTGCCATTTATTAGTGTAATTTTCATTTTCAGTAGGAGGCTGTGATATTTGTGATTGTGGCTTCACTTGGGGAAATATTACGAAGAGAATATTTCCTAGAGTATAAAAGATACGTACTTTTAGCTGGAGATCAAGGAGGAAAGAATGTTAGCTATAGCATGAAATAATATTAGTCTTTTGTTGTTGTGGTTGCTAGTTTAGGTCATTTAAGCATTCTACATTTAAACTGTATACATTTCACATGGCATACTGAATTTTCTTGCTTGAAATAAGTGAAGCTGATGTCATTCCCACTTTGTGGGTAAGCATTCTGAGATCTGATGGGATTATTCTATTTTTACAAATGATACAAATTTAGGCCTAAAGCCCATCTCATGGAATTACATATAGAACTCATTTAACCCAGCTACCATCTTCTTGTCTTGTCTTCTTTCTACTATAATTCCTTCTAATTTTTATTGCTTTACACATTTGTCATAGCTGGACAAATGTATTATTAACTAATTACTTGATATTTTGGCGTGTCATCACTCTGGTATAAGTAATAATGTGAGATTAATTATTAATCATTGTGGGAAAATATACATGAAGGCACTCTTGTGACTCAGTAGTTAAAGTACTTGACTGCTAACCAGAACGTTGGTGGTTCTAACCCACCCACTGCTCCGTGTGAGAAAGATGTAGCAATCTGCTTCTGGAAGGGTCGCAGTCTTGGAAACCTTATGAGACAGCTTTACTCTGTCCAGTATAGGTGCTCTGACTTGAGGACAGTGGACTTTTGGAGGTATAATCATCTAGTTGTTTGACGATAGGATGCTTATTTGAAGAATTATAGCATGCATTTATTTTCTTCTTTCGATCTAACCTATAGTATGAGTCATGAAAATTAATTAGTTGTATATAAATTGTGATGAAGATTTGTGCTTGGAGGTGGTAATCAATAGATATATTTTTATAAGTATGTCACTGTCTAAAAGAAAAGTTATTTCTAAGTTACTTTTAGTTATTAGCATAATTTTAATATAACATTTTAGTTTATACTAAATTTTACAGATACATATCTTTTTCTAACCACATTCATACTTGATTTTGTGTTAACTTGTCAATTTTTAAAATATTTACACCCTTCCCTCTACTTACAATTATATTATCTTTACTTTCCAGAGTATGAAGGGAAAAAGCAAAAGTAGTCATGACCTGCTTAAGGATGACCCACATCTCAGTTCTGTCCCAGCTGTTGGAAGGTTAGTTATGCTGGTGTGATTCTGGGTTCTTGTTTTCTGCATTAGGTCAGTTTTTTTCCTTCCTTTGTGTGTAAGTAGGTCTTATAATTCAGATTTTCAACCTAGCCAAGAAAAGTAAAGCCATGTTGATGATGGAGGTGGTAAAGCTCAAAGCACCATGGAGACAAGCACTCTAATCACTTTTACTATTTTCTTGCTGCTTACAGTTGAACTAATAACTTAAATTATGCATTAAATTTTTATAATCTAGGATTACTTAAGTGCCAGGAAACTGCTTAGTAGTTGCGTTGTTATTATTTTTCGGGAAGCAGTTTTGTGCCACTTGGTATTACTGTGCAGCAAAACAGAGTGAACGGTTTCTGTAAAGACGTCACGATCCTTTTAACTGATCCACTGTGTGATTTCTCATACTTTCAGGAAGGAACAGAAAATTGTCTCGTATCTTTGTTGCTTCTCTTTGAGAAATGATGCATTAGGCTTGTGCCTCAAAGGGGAACTAAAATACTATTGCACTGAATATAGCTCATTTTCAGGAGTTTCATTTCAAAAACATCTTTTCTTAATTTTCTTTTATTTGAAGGATTTAGTCCCTGTACTTTCTGCAATCACATTGCTTTAAACCAATAGAAGAAATAGCTCTTTGCAACCTCTGTTCCCAGAAATGTCACTGTAGGTTGTTGCTATTTCCTATTATTATTTCTTATTCTAGTGAGTTCATGTATTTACTAATGGAGCATAACTGACTCTATTTAGAAATGTTTGACTGTGATACTTATAAAAGTATTATTTAGAATGGCTCCATCATTCTATAACACTATTCTAAGATTACTATAATAAAGTAAGTTTTTAGAACATTCTTCCCAGCACACACTTGTAGAGTTTTGGATTATTGAATAACTTCATTAGTTCATTTTAATGCTGAAGATTATTTATTTCACTTTTTTTTTGTAGTGAAAAAGATGCAGCAGGAGATTTAGATGAAGTGAGTATTAATGTTGGTATAAATATGCATTTTAGCAATTTATAAGAAACTCAAAATTTAAAAAAAATATAGATTATTTTTTCTTCAAATGTTATGTATACTGCTTTCATTAGGTTTATGTAAATTTTGGAAAAATATATTAATCTTGGATATATTTCTTTCCAATTAAGAGTATGTGTATATATTACTCTAAAAATCTATAATCATATATATGACCTTCTAGCCTGCTTTTTCCCCCCTGACATCATAATACTTGAATACTTAAAATGAAAAGGTTGATTTTTTTTTTTTTATGCTGGATATTTGAATGTTGGGTTTATCTCATACCTGATGTGTGGGAAATGCTTGGGGTCAATGATTTTTAGTGTTATAGATACATACATTTTAGGCTATTTCATTCATAACTCTAGTGATATTTCTTTGTTAGTTGTGTTGTTCAATAAAGCTGATAAACTTAAAGGCAGTTTGTTTCAATGTGTAAGAAGTTTAACTTTTCTTATCCAAATTCTGCTTTGTATAAAAACCCATTGATCTGCATTGTACAAGTCATTGCAAAAAATACCATTTTCCATGAATGAATACAGGTTTCTTTATTACCACAGCCAAAAGGGAATGTTCTCACTCACTATACTGTATGCAGTCGAGGGAGGATGAATTTCTAACCTGGTCAAGGAAGCCTTTCTGGAGGAGATAATGTTTTGTGTCTTACAGGAAAATTAGGAATTAGCTTAGTCTCAAGAAAAGTTGTGAAAGATGAAGTTCCTATAACTCAGAGAATAGAATATGCTAAAGCATGAAAGTAATGTGAACTAGTACTTTATCTAGAAAACACAGCTGAAATTTCAAGTGTGATCAGAGCCTGAGTTTTTAAGAGCAGGGAGGAAGACTGCTAAAGGTAGAGGAGAGTGGATGTGGAAAAGACTCAGAAGTCGGAGATAGTTGTTTTAGAGGCAGAAACAGGCCAGTGTAACTGGAGTGTAGTGACAGGATAGAGAGTGGGATGAGACCGGACAGGTTGAAAGGGGGCAAATAGGATAGAGGTTTGTAGGTCATGGGTGAAAGATTAGGCCTTCTGCTCCCATAAAGAGTTACAGCCTCAGAAGCCCATAGGGACCATTCTGCCCTGTCCTATAGGATTGTTTTGAGTCAGAAGCAAAAGGAGGGCAGTAAGTTTGTTTTTTGTAGGTCATGGTGATGATTTTAAATTTCATTCTAAAAGTGAGAAAGAGATCAAGGATAGTTTAAAAGATAGTTGGAGGATCAATTTTGCATTTTTGCCTGGCTATATATATCATCTTGCTTGGATGCACAATCGATGCTTAGGCAAGCAGCAGTCAAGGAATCAAAAGACAGGTTGCATTAGGTAGATCTGGCACAGTAGACCTCTTTATAGTATTAAAAAGCAAGGAGGTTACTTTGAGGACTAAGATGTGCCTGGCCCAAGTCATGGTATTTTTAATTGTCTCCTATGCATGTGAAATTTGGACATTGAATAAGGAAGATAGAAGAATAATTGATCTTCTGTATTTGATTTGTGTTCCTGGTCAATAATATTGAAAGTACCATGGACTGCGAGAAGTACAAAATGATCTGCCTCGGAAGAAGTACAACCAGATTGCTCCTTAGAGGCAAGGGTGGCTAGACTTTGTCTTAAATATTTTATGCATATTGTCAGGAAAGACCAGTCTTTGAAGGAGGACTTCATGCTTGGTAAGGTAAAGGAGAAAGGGGAAGGGCAAGGTCCTCAACATGATGGGTTGACGCAGTGGCTAAGACAATGGGCTCAAGCATAGAAACAATTGTGAAGATGGTGCAGGACTGGGCAGTGTTTCTTTCTGTTGTGAATAAGGTTGTGATGGGTTTGAATTGACTCATGGCACCTAACTACAACAACAGCATATTATAGAGGACAAATTAGAAGAAGCAAACTAGAGGCAATGTAACTTTAGTAAGCTATTGTAGGCGGAGAGCTTGATATAAGACCACAGCTGTGCATTGGAAAGACAGTATTGCTTGAAAGAGACTTAGATTATGCTAGCTTAGGTTCAAGAATCTAACATGACAATAAGGCTTTTGGCTTGGGCATTTTTGTAGGTGGGCACAAAAGAAAGAGTAAAGTTGAGGTGGGAGATAATTAAAATAATGTTAAAATAGTGAGGCTAGTTTTGTAATAATGAGATTAGGATAATTTGGAGAAACCTATGTAGCAATAATACAGGATTGTATGATAGGAACAAGGTCTGATGTAAAATTAAAGATTTGTTCTTTAGGTCATGGGTGGAGGTGAAGTCATCTAAGGATAGCATATCATTACTTAAACTATTTTTTGACTCAGTTCCTTTGAAATAACTAAAAGTGTCGAACTTCTTCCCAGAAAATGCACCACACCCACACAGAACATTTTATGGATTTGCAGGGGAGTATTTTTAAAAAATTTTATTTCACAACAGTTTTATTGGCACATAATTCACAAAGCATGCAATTATTCAATCATTCAATCACATTAAGGGGAGTTGTACAATCACCACTGCATTTATCTTAGAACCCCCATGGTCACGTTGCCTTTAAGCTGAGCTATGCAATCATTATCAATTCTAGTGCTCTCTCTGCATTCTGGCCCTCATGGTTCACTCCCCAAATCCCGCTTCCCTCCCCTGCGCCCATCCCTCACCCCTGCCATCCCTACAACAACATGCATCATTTATTATTATCATACATCCATTCCTCCTATGCTTCACAGCTGGGAAACCCAACAGGAACCACAATGCAAGACAAATCGCACTAAGGTGTTAAGGATAAGATCATATTAGTAATAAGGACAAAAATAAATGATGCATAAGAGAGAGAAGACCCCCATCAACAGTCAAAAATCTAGAAAAGCAATTTCTGTCATGGGACATCTAAGAGATACTTGCACGCAGTACTAATTCAGGCCATATCTATTCAGGTAGGACTACTGGTCTGGTACCAAGTTCAATCCTGCATAATCAGGATTACAAAGGTCTCTGCCTGATAGTAAGGCTGTTTGAGACTCTTGCCTTTGGCTACAGTGGATCTCCCAGTGGCTCAGTCTGACTAGATACTCTACAGATGGGTTCTGGGCTCCCATTCTCCTCCATAGCCTTCTCCTAATTGGGTGTTCATAATTTAACTCTGATACTTTTCTCTTCACCGTATTCAAATTTTGTAATTGTCATCTTTGTATCAAACAAGCTGGTATGCTTCTGTGTGGATTTACCATAGTTGGCTCTTTGCTTAGATGACTGACTGCTTGTTTGAATGCAAGCTTTTAAGACCCCAGACACTATTTCAATTGATAACTGGTAACCATCTGCTTTCTTCACCACACTTTGCTGTAGCATCCTTATTTTCAATGATGATTTCATAAAGTTGAGTATCAAGCAGGGCCGTGATGGAAGAACTAAAGGTTCTTAAGTTGGAGCTAGGATTTGGTGTTAGTGAATGGCGTTCTGGCAATCCTGTTTTTTTATTTTATTTGCTGTAACTTGGAAATTATTACATATGTCATACCATTCCTAGTTCAATCATGTCAAACATCATTGTACAATTTCTTCCATAATCACTCTCTAGACATACTTTTCCTTCCTGGACATGGTGATGTCATTTCCCTCTTATCTCCCCAACTGCTGCAGCTTGCCCTACCCCCAAACCCTTGTTATGTTTTCTTTTGCTATAGGTTCAATGAATAGGGGGGGTATTTTAGATCTTCTTAGTTCCAGGCATAGAAGTTAGTGGGTATTAGAATTTAGTACTTATGAATTAATTGACTAGTTTTTAGAAAACCATAACAACCTCTGTCTTAAGAATTTGGTTTTATAAGCCTGGGACAAGAGCTAGGAGTTTACGCTTTTAACAGATAACACATGCACTTTGAAGACCAAATTTTAAGAACTTCTGCTTTAGGAGTCTTATTGGTCTCAAGTTAAGAATTCTGCTTCACCCTAACTCACCTGATCAAAGAACCCCAAGAAAAAAACGACGCACTTGGGTTAGTTCCTTTCATCCTACTTGCCCCTTTTCTCTCTCTTCTCTTTTGAAAAACTTTTTATTGTGAATTCGGTGTAGCTTAAAGAGTAAATAATCAGTTGTACATGCAGTGATTCATACACATTTTGATCGCATTCATCGCAATCCCCTCAGTGTCCCACCACTTATCCCACCTCTTCTTTCCTGAGCCTTCTGAACACGTTGTCCTTGGGTAAATGCTGCCCCTTTGATATTATGTGGGTGATTATTCTTTAGTGTACATATGTCACTAGTATTGGAAGCCCTTACTAACTCAAAACAAAAGATCTACCTTCCCCAAAATGTGATATGAGATGGACCTCCGGAAGTGAAAAGGAAATTGAATTTTAATTGAATTTTAACTTTGACAGGATGGAGATGATGCAAGTACGGAATACGATGACTCTATGGATGGTGATGAAAAGAAATTGATGAGAGAAAGAATTGCAAAAAAATTAAAAAAGGACCCAAGTGCCAATGTTAAACCAGCTGGTGAAGGAGAAGGGGAGAAGAAATCAGTGAGTCGCAGGTGAGTCAGTTCATCTGATTCTAGGACTCAGAGATTTAATAATGCTTTTCAGTTTTTCATATTTCGCTTTATTATTGTTGCTTATTTGTTTCCATTTTTATTTCCTTGTTTTCAATAGTGGCATTACTAGACGTTTTACACCCAGCTCTTTAAGGAAGCAGTGTTCTGTTTTCGGTGCTTGCACAGTTTACAATTCACCCACAGTGTATGAACATTCCAGTTTCTATATACCTTATTGTCCATTTCTGTTATTATTATTTTTTAATGTTGCTATAATGATTGGGTGAGGTGATATTCTTTTGCTTCATACCTCTCCAGGATTCTTGGTGGCATAGTGGTTACGTGTTGGGCTGATAACCACTAGGTCAGTATTTCAAAACCACCAGCAAGTCCTCAGGAGAAATGGCTTTCTACTCTGTGAAAAGTTACACTTTCAGAAATTTATGGGGCAGTTCTACCCTGGCCTGCCGAGTTGTTGTGAGTTGGAATCAACTCTTTGGCTGGGGGTTTTGACTTTAATGGCAAATTATCATGAGCATTTCTTCATATTTTGTTGGCCACCTGAATGTCTTCTTCAGTGAAGTATCTGTTCATGACCCTGCCCATTTTTTAGTTGGATTATTTATATTTTTGTAGTTGGGGTGTTGACGTTTTCTATAAGTTGTGGAGCTGTGTCTGGTTTGATATGTCATGAAGTACTTCTGCCACCATTTGTGGTCTCTTTTTGATATTTTGTGAAGGTAATATTCTCTTTTTGATTTTTTGGTGTATATGAATGTTTAATTTTTAGGAAGATCTAGTCATCTACTGTGTCTTCTGCTCTTTGTGTGTTTTTCAATGTTTGCTAACATATTTTGCTATCTCTATGATTGATGATTTTTATAGTTACAGGTTTTACATTTAAGTTTTTGATGTGTCTTGAGTTCCACTCATTTATGTATGAATGAATGCTATATGGTACCTGTTTCATTTTCTAAATATGGATATCTGGTTTTGCCAGCACCATTTGTTTAAGACTATCTCAGCCTAATGTAATGTGTTTAAGACTTTTGTCGACTACAGGATCAAGTGCCTGTAGTTGGGTGGATTTACTTTTTTCTCTATCTTTTGATTCAGTTTTGTTTCATTGATTAATACAAGGGGGTACCCAAAGAAAAATGGATTTTTTTCACCCCAAATCTATGTATTTAAATTATTTGACAAAACAACCTTCTCACTTTCAAAGTACTCTCCATGAATACATTTGTCAAATGTGCAGTTGCATTCTTGGAAACATGTTTCAAACTCATCTGTTTGGATGGCTGTCAGTACCTCCCTCTTTTTTTTCTTCACCTCTTCTGTCATCAAATTGCTATCCTCTCATGTTCCTATTCATTCATGGAAACTAAAGAAGTCACACAGAGCAAGGTCAGGTGCATGGGGCAAGAGAGCATGCTGTTTTTTTGCCCAAAACTGGCATACTGAGGTGGCTATATGAGTGGGTGCATTGTCGTGGTGGCAAGACCAGTCCCCCATCTGCCACAAATCAGGCCTTTTTTTGTCATACACTGTTAAGTAATCTTTTAAGAACCTCTAAATCAGTGGTTCTCAACCTTCCTAATGCCACGACCTTTTAATATAGTTCCTTATGTTGTGGTGCCCCCCAACCATAAAATTATTTTCGTTGCTACTTCATAACTGTAATTTTGCTACTGCTATGGGTCAGGTGGCTCCTGTGAAATGGTCATTTGACCCCCAAAGGGGTCATGATCCACAGGTTGAAAACTGCTTCTCTAAATAGAAAGCTTGAATAACAGTCTGACCTTTTGGAATGAAATCCAAATGCACTACGAGTAGACATTTTCATCCAGGAAGTTGATCTACATCTGAATGAGGTTTGTCATCAATTGATGTATTTCACCTTTTTGATAGGAGAAAACCACTTGCACACATGAGTTTTTCCCATAGCACTGTCCTTGTAAGCTGTGTTCAACATCACAACAGTTTCTGTGGCATTTTTCCTGAGCAGGAAACAAAATTCCACAGCCGCACGCTATTCTCTTAAATTGGCCATCACAAAAAATGAGATTCTAGTGAAACTGCTTTTATGAAAAAATTCATTGTGACCAGAGAGGACCTTCCCAAGTGACTCTACTGGCTGCACTGACTCAGCGAGTTGCTGAATACTTGCCTGGCGGGAAAAATGTGTCCTACGAAAGATCTGTTCCACCTAGTGTAATTCCGTGGGGGTTTTTATTTTGGGGGGGGGCGTACCCCATCGTATGTCTGCCGTTTTACTAGTACCAGGTTCTTTGAACTACAGTGGTTCAAAAGTAGGTTTTGCGATCAAGAAGTGTAAGGCCTCTGACTCTCTTCTTTACCTATGTCTTTTCTTTCCATAAATTATTAGTGAATGCTTTTTCCATGCCTTTTATGAATGATGATGGAATCTGGATCAGAATAGCATTATATTTGCAGATTGCTTTGGGAAGTACTGACATTTTCAAATATTAAGTCTTCTTCTCCATGAACATGGTATATTCTTTGATTTATATAGGTCTCTTTTAGTTTCTTGCAGCAGTATTTTTTCTTTATGTAGGTACTTTGTAGTTCTGGCCAGAATGATTCCTAGATGTTTCATTGGGTGGCTGTTGTAAATGATATTATTTTCTTGGTTTCCTTTTCAGAGCTCCCTTGTTAGTATAAAGGGGATCCAATAAATTTTATATGTTGATCTTGAACTCTGGTGCTATGCTGGATCTTTCACTTAGTTCCAGTAATTTTCTTGCTTAATCTTTGGAATTTTTCTCTTAGAATCATATCTGCAAATTGAGATAGTTTTATTTCTGCTTTGCTAATTTGGATACTTTTTATTTCCCTTTCTTGTCCTATTGCTCTGGTTAGCACTTCCATTGGAATACTGAATATGAATGATGATAAAAGGTATTTTTTCTATGTTTCTTTTTTCAGGGAGAAGTTGTTTTGTTTGTTTTTTAGTTTCTTTGTATTCAAAATTATGTTGGCTGTGGCTTTGTTGTTTTTTAAATGCACTCCCATGAAAAACAAAAGTACGAGGAAAGAGCTTTCCAAATCATAGTAATCCTACATAGGGCTTCTGAAGCTGTAAATCCTTACAGAAGCAGATAGCTTCATCTTTCCCCCTGAGGAGTGGCTGCTGGGTTTAACTGACAGCCTTGTAAATAGCCCAACACTTAGCTGACAGCACCGCTGGGTCCTTAATTATGCTGAGGAATTTCCCTTATATTTGTATTTTGTTGATCATTTGTTACCAGGAATGAGTATGGGATTTTGTCAAATGCTTTTTCTTCCTGATTGATGTGATTATGTGAACTCTTTCCTATATTTTATGGATGTGGTGGATTATGATGATTGCTTTTCTACTGTTGAACCATCCTTGCCAGACTTGATCTCACTTGGTTATGTTGTAATTTTTTTTACATAATGTTGGATTATGTTGGCTAGGGTTTTTAATTGATAATTTTTGTGTCTATGTTCATGAAAGTTACGTGTTTGTAATTTTTTTTTGGCCATATCTTTGCCAACTTTGATATTAGGATTGTACATACTTCATAAAGTTCTTTTCTGTACTCTAAAATAGTTTGAGTGGAGCTGGTTTCCGCTCTTTGAATCTTTGGTAGAGTCTACCAGTGAAGCCCTCTGGGCCCTTTTCCCCCCAGGGGAGCCGGGAGTAGTTTTAATTTCTTCTTTAGTTCTAGGTCTGTCCATTCTTTCGAATTCAGTTCATGTTAGTTTAGGGTAAGTAATGTATGTCACTTTAAAATAAGGTGGGTTTCTCTATTCAGTTGGTTTTGAAAATACTATTTAGTAGCTGCTTGTCTTTTAAAAAGTGTGCCATACAGTTTGTTGTAGCTGTGTGGTGCTGTGATGGTAGAAGTTAAACCGCTGGTGTTTCAAATACTTGAAGGGTCACCAGGGATGGGCAGGTTTTAACTGAACTTCTCGATCAAGAAATCTTTTTTAAAAAGGACTAGAGAATGGACCTGAATCTACTTATGAAATTATGGGACAGTGAAAACCTTACAAATAACTGGAGAACATTGTATGACCTTGTGCCAGAATATGAGCCCTTCAGATTAGAAGGCCCCGAAAATAAATCTAGGAAAGAGCTTTCTCTTCAAAATACAATTGAGCCCAATGATGTGGATTTATTAACACTTTAAAGACTGCAATTTTCTAATGCTGTAGAACTCAAAATGAGAAGAAATAGCTCCAAACCTCCATTTGTAATCAGAACATGGAGTGTATGAAAAATGAACCCAGACAAATTGGAAGTTGTCAGAAATGAGATGGAATGCATATAGGTGATTTTGCATCAGGAAACCACGTGAATAAGAAATTGCTGAGGGCTAGTATAGCATGTGTCATAAAAGGGTAAATTTCAAGGTCTGTCCTGAAGTACCATGCTGTCATTGACAGGATAGTATCTATACATCTACAAGAAAGTTCAGTTTAATATGACTATTATTTAAATTAAGGATTTTTATCAACTTCTGCTGTCTAAAATTGATCAAGCATGCACCCAAGATGCATTGATAATTACTGGTGATTGAAATGCAAACCTTGGAAATGAAGAAGAATTGGTAGTTGTAAACAGGCCTTTGGTGATATAAACAGTGCTGGAAAGCATATGGTAGAATTTTGTAAAAATAACTTACTCATTGTAAACAACAAAAATGGTAACTACCGGTATATGTGTTGATGTCAAATCTGTACTTGAAATGTTCTTTAATTCTGGGGGAATATTTTCAAGTTTATATTTTGGCTCTCATGGTCTTGTTTTCATTTCAGCTTCAACCTGGACTTACACTTGAGCAGTTGATGGTCTGTTTGTTCTGCAGCCAGTCCCCTAGCCTGCTTTTAGCTGCTGAGATGGAGCGTTCCCATTGTTTCTTCCCACAGATGCAGTCAATTTGATTTCTGTGAATTCCATTCGGACAAGTCCTCATGTATAGTGGACTTGTTTGTGTTGTTGAAAAAAG